AATTTTTTTAACAATATACATTGAAATATGTCGTTAAGAGCACAATGTACATAAGTTAATATGCATATAATTTAAAATATGACTTAGATATGCCTTCTTGGTGTGAAGTTGGCTTGGATTTACCTATAAACCCAAATATTATAAGTATTATACCTATCTAACTATTGGTGTACAAATACAAATCGATTAAATAAAGATTCCAAGGAATAAATTTTAAACGTTTCTTATAATTATTCAGCGATTCATTCTATTTACAATTGTAGGAACTATATAATATTGTCTGGTACATTTAGCACAGTAATTAACTAATGCAGGAACTACTAAAAGTTGCTTGGTAACTGCTCTTATATTATGTACCTACTGTAACAGTGCTTGGCCCATACTCTATAGACGTTTCAATAAAGATATGGTCCTTACGTTAATGGGAATATATATAAACACTCACGCCTGTCACCCAGAGGAGTAGGCAGAGACTATGGACTTCCATTTGGGACGATCCTGACACACCTCTCTCGCTTACTCCACATCCATATACCTACACGTACACACTCGTCGGTTAAAGGTACTCTTGATTTGGCCCATTTTCAATATATCGCCAATTTGGTCGATAAATTTTCGCCTAGGGCGTCCCTTCCCGACTCTGCCGTTCACCTCTGCAACATAAATTTGCTTTGTCACTCTTTCCTCATTCATTCTTTCTACATGACCAAACCACCGAAGCATTCCTTTCTTAATCCTGGTCACAACATCATCTTGCAAACCACACTCTTCTCTTATCACACAATTTCTCACTCTGTCATTCAGATTCATCCCTAATATACTCCTTAATGACCGCATTTCTACAGCATTTATTCTACTCTCGTGCTTCTTCTGCCACACCCAACCTTCACTACCATACATTAAAGTAGGTACTAACACAGCATTGTGAATTGCCATACATGCCTTTTAGGACTCATTCTGACTTCTCACAATAGGGTGTAGAGCCCCATTCACTCTATTTCCTGCATTCACTCGTCGTTCTATATCCTTATCATGTCTACCATCCCTGCTAAATACACATCCCAAATACACAAACTCATCTACTTGCTCGACCAACTCCTCTTCTATTCTTATTTCACATATCGTTTTACTTTCTTCTCTTTCAAAAACCATAACTTTCGTCTTACTTGCGTTCACTTTCATTCCCTTTTCTTTTAATGTCGTGTTCATTAATGTAACCATCATTTGCAACTCAGCCGCCGACGACGCAAGTATGACTTGATATCAGCGTACAAAAGGCATTTGACGGTTAACTCACCCATTCTTAACCCGCATTCTTCTACTTTAAAATTTTCCAAACAACTGTCCATATATAGGTTGAACAGACACGGGGAAGCCACACAGCCCTGTCTGACACCTTTATGGATGCCAAACCAGTCCGAGTAGGCTCCGTTGAAGCACAAGCACTAGTCTCTATACAGAGACTTCAATGCCTGTAACAACCCAGCACTCAACCCAAATGAGTTCAGTGTTTGCCAACACATCCCTGTCCACTCTGTCCAAAACTTTTCCGCTATCATGCACATGGAAAAGACCTGATCTGTACATCCCATTCCCTTTCTAAATCCCGCTTGCACATCCCAAATTTTTCCATCAGTTTCTTTCATAACTCTTTCAATTAGTACCTTCGCATACAGTTTTCCCATAATGCTAAAAAGGCTGATACCACGGTAATTTTTACAGTCCTGCTGTGATCCTTTTCCTTTATATATTGGGAATATTACGGCTTTGCACCAGTCTACCGGTACCCGCTTAAGTTCCCAACATAAATTAAACAAGGTGTACAGCAGGTCTGCCACCACTCCTTCTCCAACCCTTAGCATTTCGAGAGATACTCTATCATATCCGGCTGCCTTACCTGCTTTCATACTTTTCATTGCTTTCATTATTTCATCTATACTTATGTCTCTATTTATTTCCTCCTCTTTCGGAAATTCTATTTCATTTAATTCAAACGTCTCATCACTCATAAATACGCTTTCAAAGAATTCCTTTCATCTCCTTAAACTCAAAACTTCGTCATTCAGAATACAGCCATTCTGGTCTCGTATAGCATTCATTCTAGGCTGTTTTGAATGTCCTCTGGTAGTTCTTACGAGTTTCCAGAACATTTTAATGTTTGCCTGGAAGTTATCCGATATTGTCTTCTATCATTCTTATCCGTTCTTTCTTGCTTTTTCCTTTCAACTACTTCTTTTACTCTCTTATTTAGATGTCTAAAGACTGCCTTTTTACTTTCAATATCATCATTCATAACGCTAGCATTACTAGCCTTGGTTGCTAGTATATCTAGCCATGCTTTTTTCTTTGCTTCAACTTCCACCCGTACCTCATCATCCCACCATAACGTGTTATTTTTCCTTTCATTCGTTCTCTTACTTACACCACATACTTCGGGAGCTGCATTTAAATATATAATAAACAAAATTTAAGTATTAATAAAATAGACAATTTTAGGAAAATAACTCAATCACATTATGATTTTTCAAATTAAATTAAACGCATGCGCAGTTGTAGTCATCTGTGATGAGATATAATGCTTTTTTATAGAATAAGGGTGACAAACAAGCACACAGTCTCAGTCAGCACTTAATGGTAAGTAGATACCGTGGCCCATAGACACACTCACATCTATCATCGATTAAGAATCAAAATACAGATGCGGTGTCACCCCTGAGGACTAAGATGGAATACATTGATACAATCATAAAAGATCTCTGTTCTATACCCACTATATGAAACACAGCGGCATTAAACTGCTATTTCACGCTGATATTGTGTAATCCTCCCCAGGTCGGGCCGACCCATTCGTGCTGCAACCGTAATAGCTGCAGCGAGGCTCTTCTACAAGTAAAATTTCATGGCAATCTTTAGATTGATCTGTCTTACCATTGGAATTTTAAGATGACTAATGCCAATGTCCAGCTGTGGACATATATTTAAGGAAGGAGAAGAAAAAATCACGCTCCACTGCACAAGTCTCTGCAGTCGGCTTCATTAATTTATTTGATTGACAGAAAAAAAATGTATTACAGTCGTGTTTGTACCTTAGTGAAAATTTTCGGATGCTGTTAGAAGTAGAGAGTCGTGTAGAAACAGCATAAGTGGATACACCAGCTCATATGGGATGCCATTGGCATCCATATAGGCTGCTGTATTCACGTAAGAGAAACGACACAGGAGATGGGTAGCAGCGTCTATCTTAAAATAATTTAAAATAATAAAGCAAACTATTCTTAAGTTGGCACCCGGGCAAGCGAAGCAACGATTGCAATTTTTTTTGTAATTTAATCTTTACTTCAATAAACTGTATCTACAATTAATTAAAACAAAGCCTTAATCTACAATCTCAATTAATGCTGCTTCAAATATTGTCTGATTCTTATATAAAATGTAACATACCAACTGGTTAGGGTTAATTTCGTTAAAATGTATTATCATAAATTAACTTAAAACAATCAGCAACTTTTCCGTGTCATCTATTGCGTGACAAATTCAAAAAATGTGGCCCCCGTGGCAAAATGAGGCAATCTATGGTGACGGATATGTTTACTTTAGTAAAATTATTTTGTCCGTGCAGTTGGGGTTATAAATCGTAGCTCGGCCTCAGCCCGGCTAGGGCGGTGAGCATGTTGTTATAGTCCTCTACGTCTTTTGATAGGCTGTAATGATGATGATAATGATAACAAGGAGACAGCGTAAATATTTAAGGGGGAGAAAGAGAATAACTCATTTAAATAAGCTTAAGTATTATACGTCAGTCACTCAACAAGAACTCTAGAATCTTTTCCATAATACGGCGAAACACCTCACGGCCGAAAATTGCGAACCTAAAGACCTAGTTCCTCTTGGCACTCAAACAAAAAGCAAACGTTGTCCGAAACGTCGCGGGGGCTAAACAAAAGCATCCGAGATCATAATATCGCGCCACAATGAGCGGCCGGTGCTGGCAGCGCCGCGCGGCTTTGTCCGCCATTTTGCTCCATTTTTCTTAACACCCCCGGGCTGTGGGAACAAGGCGCTGTAACGCGATCCCGGCACGTTTACGGGACTCTTGTTTTCGGAGGGTTTTTTGCTGCGAGACGTCCGTTGTATCGTCGCGATAGTACGGGAGCGGCCGAGAGTTTATAGCACTACCATTATGGCTTTTGAACGTTCCTGTAGCTCATGTTCCTCGAGTTATTAAGATATACGGTATAGAGACACCGTCTATCTTAATAACTACTTTACTTACTATTTTTTTAGCAGAGGCTAAATAGTGTCGTAAGAATAAAGACCTAAGTTGTTTTTTTTTTAATTTAATGACACATTTATATAGAAAAATGTTTGATAATTTAAATTTAAAGTTTGATTAATATACTTTTAACAGGATCACAAAACAAGGTTAGTGAGAGAGCCTTTACATAAATTCCAATGCATTATACACTAGCTACGTTCTTCTTAGATATTTATAATGAAAGGAACACTAAATTAGTGCAAGAGTTATGGTTAAAAAAACATGCGCGAGTGTCGTGGAACACTCTGTTGGAATGAAGTTCCTTATTATTGATAAGCGTATCTATTATATTATTGATTAACAAATACAAATAAATGTATTACTAGCGTCTATTAAAATGAAGCGTCGTTTAAAATAAAATACACTATGACACAAGGGGTAGTGACGAAAAAATCTTACACTTTTTGTCGCCTAGCGCCCATCCGCCAAACCCGTACCGTCCGATAAGGAACTTCGTTCCAATAATTCATGAATATTTCAAGTATGAAACTTGTAGCTTAGATTTTTAAGCTAGAAGATGGACTACCTACTGTTTTATTAATATACGTGTAAAACCTTATTTCAGAAAAATAAAGTGAACAGAACCAAATTTTTTTTAGATTTATTCACTATAATATTTATTTTTAACTAGGTATTTAGTGATTTTAATTGTGTTATTTTTGTTTGTTTCATGTACGTAACGTAGCGGTTCAACAGTTTTACTCAGGTAAACCATTTTCTTTGGCGCTGTGCCGAAGGGGTAAATTTATACCTACTATAATATGAATAATAATAAAGTATTTTTAATTAACGCCTAGCTCACGAAACATGAGATTTTATTCACAGATATTAAAAACTCATATTATCTAATTGTTCAGAAAATAAAATATTTATCCGTCGTTACTTACAACACAATACATTGGAACACAAACAAACAAAGCATAAAGAAATCTTGTTGTGATTAATAGCAGTTTAATGGTGGCGTAAGTGTATTCTACACTCAGTTTCGTACTGTAGGTATGTACCTACCTATTGTAATAGGCGACTAAGTATAGGATCTGCTAAAAAGATCTTTTGGCTTTCAATAGATGGCGCTGTAACCATCTCGTTTACAATAGGCATAAAATACCCAGACTGGAGACGGGAAAGCAGCGTCAATACGAGCTAATAAAGAAGAAAGAAAGATTACGTACCTAACCTTCTCAATTAGCTGCTAGGTACACTCAAGAGCAACTCAAGCTTCTTACTTACAATTTTTTTAATTAAATATAAAACTGTCCTCCAAGTTTTTTGTGCCTTTGCCTTTGAAGCATAAAAAATCTAACTCAAATTTAACATTTCATAAACTGTGCGAAAAAGTTATTTAAAATGTGACGTCTGCTCGAGGATCCATACAATTAACGGTGTGAGTGAAAGAAATTGGCAATTCGGGCGCAACAAGGCAATCCGGCGCGCCGCTTGCAGGGAATATTTGATTTGGCACGGACTCCATGCTCGTTTTTATTCGCGAGCGCGCCCTCCGCGGCGTCCTTCCGATCTGCGAAGCGTCGCTGCGAGCTTGTAGAACATAGTTATGATTTTTGAAACTACGTAATTAACAAAAATATTACATGATTGGGATTTATTCGTAGAGATATAAACGTTTTAAATAATTAGCATTTTAGTTTAAAAAAAGTTTTTAGTAAAAACCAGAGATTTAGTTAAATCGTACTTTAGTATCTACCACACAAGTACATTACGACCAATTTTCTATAGCCACAGACTTAAAGTAGTCCTTTTTTATATTTTAAGACGTATTGTTGTTTATAGGGTTAAAATATAACATATCGTAGTTTTAATGTGGATTCGCGGTACAATTATTTTATTTGGAGGTTGTTAAATTTTATTTTAGAATCGTTATAGAAAATTGAGGGCCGATTTTTCTATCCTCAGTTAAAATTAATTCATAGTATAAAATACTTACAACATAAACAAATTAAAAAATACGATACGAATAAAATAATTCAATTGTTTCACTTTTATATTCAGTATTTCATTAGTCATAATTAATTCGATGGATAACTTTACCTAGGTACCTGACGATTGAAAAATCGGCCTTAAAAGTAGACTATTAATTTGTATTATATAACTAATACATATAAGTATCACTTGTTTGTCTTGTATAATATGCTACTAGTATTATATATGTATTTATATTGTACATTATGGTTTCACATAAATTTCTCGTTTTAAAAGCTTTTACAAAAATTTACTTCGCAAATATCCGCGTTATAAAATAAAATGATGTGTCTTACCTAGTATGAAGAAGCACCTCCCGCCCTCCCTCAATTGCGTGCACTATCCCCGTCACCAGTAATCCCAGCACCGCTACTTCCAACACCACTACACTAGGCAAGACACACCACTGACGATAATACGACACGTGTTTCGCCTCTACACGAGGCATCCTCAGGTGATATAGACTCTACGGTGGCTAACCGCTAAGTAAATTTTTGTAAAAGCTTTTATATAATGGATTTCCGCAAAGTAACGCCTGATTCTATTAATTATATTCTCGTTTTAATACAAGACCCGTCACCCAAGCTTGTAATGCATGTCGCTTCTACACGGCAAGAGGACGCTTAGTTCCATCAGGAGCTTTTCACGCGTAAACACATTCTGTGGTTTCATTCCCGAGTGCCTCACGGCGTCCGTGTCGTTAACGTCATCAGAGGCTCGAGATCGCGCCACCTCACAAATCTAATCTCCAGCGGATCCGCGCAAATTGGCCTACCGCCGATTGCCAATCAGTCGGCGCGACTCGCGTAAAGTGGCCCAATATATGAAATAACCGTGAACATTTCACTGCCGGCGCGTTTTCAATATATTTTATATTATATTTGCGACGTTCTAGTGTGCCTTTTGTAAGAAAATTTTGACGTATTACGTAAAACGACGATAGTAGAGGTAATTGTATCAAAAGTGCGGTAGAATCGCTCCGGGTTTTGTTATTTCAATATCCGATAAAAGTTATGGGCCTCTTCCGTTGTAGGGAAAGTTGCTTGTGAATAACTGCCACTGCGACGAAAATATTTTTTTTTGTCTCGGATCTACTTAGTCAGTTCAGAGATCGATTAGACCAGGGGAATTGCAGGGGCGTTGCCGGCCTTTTAAAAAAGGAGTACCTACGGTCTTTTCTTGAAGGTCCCTAAGTTGTATCAGTCCGGAAAAATTTCTGGTGGTATTTTCAATATTTTATATAACTGAAAAACGTTAGAGTTCTCTTTGTCATTTTGTGTTTAACCCTATTTTACAATTTTATGGAATATAGTGGCGTTGGAGAATCCACTGCCCCATAAAATCACCTCACCCCGTGGGTTCGTGGGTTTTATTCGTTGCAGAGCCACGAGCCACCCTGCTATTATATTTGTAGTACTAATGGGACGGGCCGACTGAGGAAGGACCACGCTCTCATAGAATACCTGAAATTGCTGTTTAATGCTGTCGTGTTGGAAATCCTTATTAGAATAGAATAGAATAGAATAATTTTTATTCAATATTGATTATTACATAATACTTATTGAAAGTAATTTTTTATTTACCACTGGTTCGGAAAATACCATAGTCCTGGGAAGAACCAGCAAGAAACCCATCGGGACTTCTTTTTCAAACATATTTCACTTAACAATAATTTCGTTTATACAATTTTTAAATGATTTTTCATAGAACCAGCATGGTGGCGATCACCTTATTCCCATGGGTTATTTTCATTCATGTATTCCTTGATATTATAATAACCCTTTTTGTACAGATTTTCTTTAATAAAACTTTTAAACGTGTTTATTGACAAACTTTGAATATGTTCTGGGATTTTGTTGTAAAAGCGTATACATTGACCCATAAATGAATTACTGATTCTGTGAAGTCTAGTAACTGGTATTACAAGCTTATGTTTGTTCCTAGTGTTTAAAGTAGATATGCACATCCTTATTCTTATTAAAGCTATTTATGTTTTTATGTACATACATTACATTTTCATAAATATATTGCGATGCCAAAGTTAATATGTTTATTTCTTTAAATTTTTGTCTGAGGGACTCTATACAATTTAGGTTATAAATCGCCCGAACGGCTCTCTTTTGCAAAACAAAATACACTAATGTAGCTGTCTCAACATCTGTGAGACTTGTAATCTTTCTTACAGCATATGCTGTAGAACTAAGTCTGCTTGCTAATTTAGATATATGGGGGCCCCATTGAAGTTTCGCGTCAAAAGTAATACCGAGAAAAACAGTGGTATCCACAAGACTCAACTCCTCCCCATTTAACAGCACGTTAGTATTCGAATGTTTTACATTAGGTATTGTAAATTTAATACACTTTGTCTTATTGCCGTTTAAGAGCAAATTGTTGGCGTTAAACCAATGTACTAGTTTCGATAGAGCATTATTTACATCGTCATATTTAATTGACTGCCGTTTCAGTTTGAAAATTAAAGAGGTATCGTCAGCAAATAATACTATATCGTGATTGTCCCCTACAAGATAAGGTAAGTCATTAATATAGATTAAAGTCACGAAAATCCCCCACAAATCTGCGGTTTTCTTTACATCAATGGTTTTGAAGTATTTTACAATATCTTGTGGTAATACTTTTTCAAATCTAAATTCTTTTAAACAGGTATTAACATTCTGTTTGAGTAATGACTCGGCGACAGTTGGAGAAGTATTCAATGACTCTGTTGTCAAGATAGGAATATCAGTGAAATATTTCTCAAACACCGCTGCGACTTCTTGATTTGATTTAGTCAATTCATTGTTAACTTTTAATTGATAGTTTGAGTTATACGAGATTTTTCTTTACCAGTTTCGTTGTTAATTATACTCCACGTCTACTGGAAATTAGGCATTCCATCTTAGTCCTCAGGGGCGACAACGCATCTGCATTTTAATTCTTAATCGGGGATAGATGTAGATATCTTTGGGTGAAATCATCCACTTACTATATCATGTAGACTGTGTGCTCGTTTGTTATTTATAAAATTATTTTATTTAAAAAACCACTAGTGCAGGGAGATTTGCACCTTTTTTTTAAATAATTATGAAATAACCAATAGTTTTGAGTTTTATTTAAGCTTTTTTACGTGGTAGAGCAATGCTGCAGCTATGTTAGTAGTATAGTTGTAGCACGAATGGGTCGGCTCGACCGGGGAAGGACCACGCTCTCACTGAAAACCAGCGTAAAAATAGCAGCTTAACGCTGCTGTGTTTCGTATGGTGAGTGTAGAGAACCGGAGACCCTTTTCACTGGCAAAGAGGCATTCTATCTTAGTCCTCACAGGTGACAACGCATCTGCATATTAAGTCTTTATTGAGGATAGATGTAATATGTCTATGGGTCACAGTAACCACTTACCATCAGGTGGACTGTGTGCTCGTTTGTCACCCTATCCTATAAAAAAAAGCTTTAGCAAAGTAATTAGACAATGCAATACACCGGCCTAAAATTTATCTATCTACTTGTATGGATATGCTGCATTAAAATTAATAAATTATTGTTTGCAATATAAAACCATTTTTCAACAAATGGTGTTTATGTCCTATCCATAACCTACGCTTTATAATTATGATTAAAATAAATAATAACGTTGTCAAGCATGATTGATAACTGATTCATTTATTTAAAAAAAAATTAAGATAAGTATTGAGAAGACATATTATTGGTTATAACAAAATTTTTATCAGTTAG